CACTGTAAATGAAAAAAAATAAAAGACTAAAAATGTCGATAATTCGCTCATTTGTTTGAAATATCTTGCTCTATAAGAATTATTTTAAAGAAATTGTCAAATGAAACTTGAAAACAGCTCATGTAAACTTTAATAAAATCATTACTACTGAGCACAAGAATCAGAATGTGAGCGACGGCGAGAATATACTTAAACTGCGCATATAACTTATTGAGAAAAAAAACATAAATGTTCATCTATGAATTCCAGAGCCCGAAACGAGGCAAGATTTTGCTCCTTCGCCTCGATTCGCCTCGAAAGCTGTTGCCCTCGGTCCGCTTCGATTCGACTCTATTTTTTCCAAGGCTGCCTCGCCTCGCCTTTTCTTAGAAAAAAACAGATTCCAAGTATGCGATATCATTTTTGGGTTAGTATGTATGAAAGTAATTAAAAAGCTTAGTTAATTGATACAAGACAGCTTTATTGTTTGAGAAGTGAACAAAAATAATTTAATCAACAAACAAAAAAACATCAGACGATGTCCATTCATGAAGTTCATATTTTCATCTTATTATTTTCAATCGAGCGAGGAAGCAAGATATCATTGACCGTAGATGGTTCTAATGAGGAACGCCGTCGAGTTACGATTTGGCCAGTCGCACTAAATTCGCGCTCTACCGCAGCAGAGCTACATGGTATTGCAAAATATCGTTTTGCCAAACGAGATAAAGATGGAAATTTGGATTCGTATTTCTTCCAAAAATCAAGTGGACTAAGGTATGTTTCATCTTGAAGATCTAGTTCGAGATACCTATCAACTTCATCTTTCGCAGCTTTGACGTTTTTTTTTCTTGGTTATTCGATTATGATCCATTAAAGATTCAAAAAGAATCTTTGGTTTCTTCGATAGTAGTTCTTCAATACATTCTTCCGTAATATCGTGTTCCGCATTTGTCGTTATAACCATGCGACAAGCTTGATGACAATCATCGATTTGTGTGGACGTTGCTGATCTCGAAGTTTTATAATTTGGATGCAGAAATGCACCCATCACATGAATATCATCAATTTGAAACATTGAATTTAACAGTTGATAAGCACGTTTCGCAAAGAATTTCATACCTAAATCGAAACAACAATTTAATTGTATGTAGAGCACTAAACCTCTGTATACGTGATGTCCCTATCATAATTGATTCTATTGTATAATGACTGCTTAGCACAATATCATCTTCTTCATTTTGGTCAATCACTTAAGCTAGAAAGACCATGTATCTTTTCGTTTAAAGACTTTTTATCTTCTGCACCTTCTCCTCGGGATGATTATGCTAAGAACTATTCCTTGACGTACATAGGAAATATTCAGAAGCAAAACCCAACGACATTAAATCGATACCTTGCTTTTCTTTTTTTTCACGATTGATTAAATCGGCTTTCAAGAATGCAATACATGAAAGAACGGCGAATAAAGATGGTGAATTGCCCTTTTGAACTTCACACAAAACGTATTTCCATGGCTCAAGAAAATCAATTAGCTGTTGAACGGTTGTCATGTTTATTTTGTCGATTCGATGTTCTTCTTTACGTTCAGTTAAAATGATTCGCAATGCATCACAAGATCTTTTAATACTTTCTAAAAGATCGCTTAAGGACAGCCACCGAATTATGGATGACTGATGAAGAGTGGTGCTAGTAATAGCCCGGCCTCGCACTGTTGACGATGAATTGGATGTAACACTGTTTCAGTGGAGATTGTTGTTTGATTTTGATTTTGAATCTCACGATTCAAATTAGCCTGTAAACAAACAGTCAATGAGTGAAAAACTTTGAAAAGCACTCATAAATACTTTCTTAACATAAGTCACAAGTGATTTACAATGTTCGATTGTTTGCAGAATGTGTTTAGCTGATTGAGGAAGATTGTCGAGCGTTGTTGTTGTATAGTCGATGAGAAATAATTTACCATCATCATCTTCTTCATCTTCAGATGATTCTTCTGTAGAATCACTATCGTTGTGGTTCTCTTCTTCATTCATATAATAACAATCAATCTCTGGAGAGCCTTCTTTGGATGTTGTTGTTGTTGTTGTTTTCTGCGTCATTTTTGTCAGTGTTTTTTCTTTTTCGATAATTATTTTGGAGATTGTTCTGCTTGGTGTTGTTTTCATCTTTTTCTTTTTCTTCTTCGACTGTTGATAGAATGTTGCTTTTAATATGTTATTTAATCGATGTGCTTCACAATGTAGCACCTTGAAGGATTGCAGACCTTTGACGAAGTTTGAACCTCAGTCAGTAACAAATGTGATTAAATCCATGTACTTGGCTAAACTGTAAATTTGTAATTGTTGCTCGATAATCTAAATAAATAGTATCCAGCCTTTCGGCATCATTTTATCAAGTTTTTCTCTTACTTTCACTATTTCAGTTCCAGATTTTTTTTTGGTTTAAATTCAACACAGAATAGATCGATGGAATGAAATATAAATTGATGATCAACATAGTGAGCTGTTACTCCAAGATACGAAACTTTTCTGTAATTATCGGTCCAGATATCTGGACTCAAACAATGGTCCTCCAACCCCTGCTACTTCAATGAGTTGATGTTTCAATGCTTTACGTTCTTTTTCAGCCATCTTGTTGATTTCATTTCTAATTGTTCGATCACAATATAAGATTTCATCTGCAGTGACTGGCTGATCAGAACGAAGTTCTCGACCTAAATATAAAATGAACGATTTACGATTTTTCTCGTCAACAAAACTTTTTCCGCTTAGATACCAATATTCAAACACTCTTGGATAATCTTTCGAAATCCTTGATCAGAAACGATTTGAAATGGACGCATCGACGATGATATCCATTGGGTATAAAGCTTTTTAATGTTTTCCTTTTTATTCTTCAATTGCATTTCGATCATATGAGAACGTCGTGGAAGTGAATGAATGCTGTCCTCAAGTGATTGTTGACCTTTTAATAAGGTCTTTGGACAATGATGCTCATTCATACTAGTGGTACTTCCATCGAGATAGCGAAAAGTTTCAAAACAATGTTTACAAGAAACAAAACTGGGTATACGTTCACTCTGGTTTTCATTTGTAACTCGAACTGGAAATCCCAATGTTGTCCAACATGCAGCCGTCAGCCGTTTATTGGAATTGTCCACGACTTTGTATTCATTTTTCTTATTCTTAAGGAGATTTTCAATCAATTTGGAAGAGTAAGAAGCATTCGACACAGATTTTGTCGATTTTGGAGAGCAAATATTAATAGATTCATCATTGGAAGCCATTAGACCAGATACCAGCTGCAGGTTTCCGACTAAATAATCAAATTAATTGGAATTTGAATGTGTGCAAACATCACCATGAAAAAGAATTGAAGAACTTTATTATGCAACGTGTAACAACAAATGTTGTGCTATATTCCAATTCTGTTTTATTTCATCCATATCATCTTCTTTTATGCATCGGTCACGAGAGAGAGAACATACATTGCGGACGAAAGAATAGGCTAACCTATGAGAGGATAGATAATGGAATAACATCATTATGTACAGGTACACGAGAAAGGGAGAAATGACCGCTGACGAACAGAAAGAAGGTAGAATATGACAATGAAACTATAAGAGAGAGAGAGACAGGTTGGACGGCGTCAGTACCCGCTTGCGGATGTGCATGATTATTGGCACACAACGACTACAACAATGAATAATTTTTTCAATGGAAGGAAGAAACATCAATCACAAATTTGCACACATTCCTCCAAGAAATATAGTTATTTTTTGACGAGGTGGCGCTTGTGGCATCGGTTCGCTTCGTCTCGCCTCGCTTCGATTGGTAATTAAAAAATCCAGCTTCGCCTCGACGATTCTTCGCTTCGTTTCGGGCTCTGATAAGTAAAGAGATTAATTAGAAGTGAAAAATAAAATTAGGTTAACCTTAATTTATAGCCATTAGAAACGGCTGTTGTTCTCAAAAAAGAACAACGATGAGAAACAAATATTAGCGAATGTTCGTGGCATTTTTTTTACGACCTTTTCAAAGAAAACCAATTAGCAGAATATAATGATGTTGCTAAAAGCCATAAAAAGAAAGAAACTTTGAAAAGTAGAAACGGCAAAAAAATCTTCGAAAAGCAGAATTTTTCTGCTAAAAGCAGAAAAGGTGGCACCACTGTTGTCGAGCTAACAACAATCATCATTTCTAGTTGAATTGTGTACAGATTACCGAACATAGACACTTCTTTGTATCATTCGAATTCAAAAAATTACTTTTTCACGAGTCAGCTGATATAAGCCGTGAGAAAATTGAAACGAACCATAACAATATTCCTCGCCACGAGAACTCTATGACAGCCTGTGAATACTTTTCTGAAGGACGATTTGGATTCATTGTTTAATTATATATATGATTCATTATCTATAATCACTTGTGATTACAGCCGTTTGACATATGAATAACGACAATGGCGCCTAACTTTTCTCTCCGTGTTCCTTTTAATTATCTCAAAATAAAAAAACACGAAGTCCTCAAAAATTTGTCATTTATCCAGGACGACAGAGCCGACTGACGGATCCCGTGGGATCCTATCGGAAGACTACCGAATTTTATTGAATCCGATAGTAATCCTTGGTATCGGATTCCGACAGGAAGTATCACTTGTCGGAAAGTGTCGGAATAACCGCAATTCTTCTCGGAATTCCGGCATCCCGACACTCCGACAACCGGCAACTTCTGACGGATTACTATCGGATTCAATAAAATTCGATAGTTTTTCCGATGGGATTCGACGTGATCCGCCAGTCAGAGCTGTCGTCCTTGGTAAATGACAAACTTTTGGGGACTTCGTGCTTTTTTATTGTGAAATAATTAAAACGAAAACGAAGAGAAAAGTTAGGTGCCATTGTCTTTCTTCATATGTCAAACAGCTGTAATCACCGCTGATTTTAGATAACGAGTCATATAAATAATTAAACAATCAATCGAAATCGTCCGTGGAAAAA